TCCTCCTCCTCCTCCTCCTCCTCCTCCCGGGGCATCCTATACCGCTCCAGGGCCCAGGGGATGGTCCTGGCCAGGGGCAGTGCACATCTGCACAGACCTCGGCGCGCGACGCGCCCCTGGGCGCGCCGCCGCCCGCGGCGCCACGGGGTTGGCCAAGGGGTGTCCCTGGCGCGCAAGGTGCCCCGGGCTGCCCCGCGCCGTGCCGGGGCCCTCTGGGAGGCGCGATGGGCTGCTCTGGAGGTCTCCTGGGCTTCTCTGGATGTCACGGGGGGCACGTCTTGTGCCAAGGACGCCTCCCCAACCCCCTGACGCACGACTTGGACGAGGTCGGGACCCCTTCCCCAGGGACGGGCTTTTCATCCCGAGTCGTCGTTCGACGGCTCTGGGGCCCAGTAGGGGCCCTCGGACGCCAAAAATAGAGAAAAGCTGCACCTCGCGTTTTGCACGACGCATGGCGATTTGGGCGTGGGCCGGGGGCTCCCCTGGCAACACCCGAGGGAGGATGGGGGAGGCCTGTTCTGGGCCTCGGCGTCGCGCAGTGTCCCGCTGGCGTTTCGCAGCGCCTCCTGGACGGCGAAGCGGCGTCCGCCGTCGTCGCCGTGATCGGCCCTGTCGTGTTCGTACTCGTCCGCCGTCGCCCGTCGTGGCACGTGGTCGCCCGTCGCCCCTCATCGTCCGTCGCCGTCTTACAGCCAAACAAAATCATAAGGATGAGCCGTTTCCAGGGTGTACCCTGGCATACTTTGGGGCTGGACAGACCCCCCTTTAGCAAAACGTGGTTTAGTGAAAACGACCTGAGGCCCAAACCTGGCGGGCGCAAGCCTGGAAAATAACGGCCACAGCGCCCTCTCGAGAACCGAAAACGGACAATTCACTAATCGACGTGTCACTGTTGGGGGTTCTGTCCACCCCCGAATACTTGCTTCTGCACCTAGACAGCCATAATGCCGTGGTGACTGATCGCACATGGCAGAACAAAGGTGCACAAGCAGAATGGCTCAGGGAGCGGAGACTCAACATGCCTCTTCACCGTCCTCCGCCGCAGAGGGGTCGGGCAGGCAGCGGCCACCGCGGAGTGCAGCTGTGGCGGCGCTGCCTTGGACTGGAGTCAAAAACCCTAAGAAGGACGCGCGGCAGGGACGCAAGACCCTTGGAAGCCGAAGCTGGGCTTTTTGGGGCGGCGGACGACGAAAACCTCAAGGAGGCAAGAGCAAGGAAGAGCAAGGACGCAAGGGTACCCTGAGCAAAGCCGCGCGTCCTTATGAGGGTTTTTGACTGTAGAACGACAACGGCCGAGCAAGACATAAAAACGCACCGTATGGGGCGTCCCCTCAAAAGTCGAGGGGGGTGGGCAGCTCGGCCGGTGCCGCCCTGCACGTGCCCCAGCGGCTAAAACCAAGGCAAAAGCTACTGGTAGCCGACGACTTGGGCGCACAGGACGGCACGGGCAGAAGACATGTCGAAAAAGGGGCGAGGTGCCACGCACGGGGTCCTTTCTCCCACGGGCCGGCCTGCCCAACGCCAAAGTGTGTACCAGGGCGAGAATGAGCTGGACCGGCTTGACGGTCGTTTCCACCACGGTGCGGGCTTGGCGCGCTCCGCGCGCGGACCTTCGAGTTGTTATGTTTATGCCACTTTTTCTTCCCCTAGTGTTGCCGTGGAATCGCGACTCCATGCCACTTTTTGTCCCCGAGTTGTTATGTTTGTGTCACTTCGTGTTCCCCTGAAAGCCAAGACGAAGGAGCGCTGGGCACGCGATGGCTTCCGAGCAGGCGTGGTTCCGCACAGGCCCTGCGCGGGGCCAGCTGGAGACCCCCCAACCCCCCTCCATGCGCAGAACGGCCGCAGAGGCGAGATGCCGCCTGGGCGAGAAGGCGCCGATGTCGCCACTGGTCCCTCATTTTCGCTCCTCCTCCTCCTCCTCCTCTTCCTCCTCCTCCTCCTGGAGGGCTCTTCGAGACGCTCTAGCAGCAACGGCAGTAAACTAGCGGCGGTTGGCAACTTATCGTTGCGATATGGTGCGTCTGACTGAACGTGTCACGTGTACCTCTGCAAACCCGCCATGACCTACAAAAACAAGTCCCGATCAATGATATCCTTGGTGTGACCCTCCGCCGTCGTGTCGCAAGTGTCGCAACACTGTGCGTTATCCGTAATCCCGAGATCAAATCATTCTTTTAGCCAAGGAATATGACCAATAATTGTTTTCTCAAGAAGGGTCTCGCAATCCTTGCATGATTAAGACGCAAATTAGCCACCCCTTCTGGCACCAGCACTTTCCCCAACCCGTCATGTCATGGCGACCAGTTTGAGCAACACCGCCGAAAAAAGCAACATAATCTTCCTCAACGATAAAAAACACTAGCCACCATACCCGACAGCATCTCCCACAACCCATCAATACAACACCTCATCTCAACAATCAACACACTGATCAACGATCCAGCTCTCACAGTGCAATCCAACTTTACATCCTGAAACCTACTGAGATGTAAGAAGCGGGCCAAACCCCTATTCTCCTGTTGAAGTCCTTAGCGGATGCGACTTCTCCATAGTGACTGTCAAGGAGGTGTACTCTGGGAGGGTGTTGGATATGAGGGAGGGAAGTGCGGGTACATCGAAAGAATGAGGGACGAGTCGGAAGTGGAGAAGAGCGGCGGGACGGGGAGGGGCTGGGGCAGAGAAAGGAGGGGGAAGGGAAGGATTGGGATACAAGTGGAGAGAGGGAGTCTTCGAGGGGGTGGACCATCCTTGCCCCTATCAACCCACCTCTCATCTGTGCTTCTGCTCCTCGACCTCCTCCACCTCCTGCTCATCTTCCTCCATCTGTCCGCCACACACCCTCGACCACGTCCATCGACCACGCCCCTCCCTCGACCAGCTCCCCCTGCCTCTGTCGATCGCCCACACAAGCCCCAATGTCCGAAAAGGCCAAGCACCGTCGAACCCCCAACGACCGGGGGCCCCCAGAAATAGACCCAGACAAGAACGAAACTCGAACATCTGCTTCAAGTGCTTGCAGATATGCCTTACCTGCGCGTGTGATATCCGAGACGCAAGTCGAAACGATAGAGATGAAGCGACGACGACGCTGGCGACGGCCACGGCGACTGGATGAAGACGCGGCAGGGGACGACGGCAACGAAAGACACGACGACGACGACGAGGTCGACGTCGCTGACGACGGCGGCGACGCAGGCGAGGCCGATGACGCCGTCGCCGCCCCCCCGGGTGCGCGGGCCGTCTCCTGGGCGTCCCGGAGGGCGAGCTGCGCCGCCTTGGAGGCCTGGAGGGAGGCGTTGTGCGTCCTTCGATGGCAGGACGCGCGCGGCGCGCTCCCCAGGCGGCCAGGGTGCCCCCGAGACGCCCTGCAGGGCGGCCCAGGCGGGCCACCGGAGGCGTCGAGTGGTCGGAGCACCGCAGCACTCGAAGGCCGCTCCAAGAGCGCGCCGACCTCCCTCTGCGCGCGCAGTGACGTCGACGACGTCGTCCTCCGCCTCGCCCCTCTTCCCAAGCAAACAAGGCACGAACAGGTGGGGACGGAGGATCGCGCAGAATCACCTATACATCAGCGACGCATCGGCGACGTTGGCGTGGAGAACGTCTGGTTCCACACCGCATCGGATATGCGGCCTGATCCTCCGACCCCACTTGCTCCAGGCCCGTGTGGAGTTCTGGACAGGTGCCTCATCTCCTCCATTCTCATAGCCCTCCTCCATCCCTCCCCTTACCACAGCCAAGTCCTCCCCGTCACATCAACAGACGTGTCCGCAGGCCAGGGCGGTCGTTGCGCCTGAGGTTGCTGTGCTACGCGTGAGGCTTCCAACAGCTGCACCAGTAGAGGGCGGGTGGTTTTTCGGTTGCGGCTCTCGCCCGAATTAGCGCCACGAACCTTCGCTTCAAAAGCTAAAGCTGACCACAGCTGCACGGATGGAAGGCGGGTGGTCTTCCGAATGCCGCTCTCGCCAGAATCAGCACCGCGCACGTTCCCCCTTTCAGTGTTCCAACGGTTACACGGGTGGGGGGCGGGTGGTCTTCAACATGCGGCTCCCGCCCAAGCAACGCGCAACTGCAGAACATGCCAACAGCGGAACGCCTGGAGGCTGATGTGTGTCTCTTCACCACGGGGGCTGACAGCTCAACACGAAACGGAGATCGGCGGCGAGGCCCAACCGTCGAGACCCGGGAAGGCCAGGGCACCCTGGAGGGCAAGCAGGGGTGTTTCTTCGCACGGGTGTCCACTGCAGGCCCCCTCCTCGCCGCAGTCCCGATGGCTCGCCGGCGGGCGGCGGGCGGCCTCACCCCCTGGGCGTGGCGGGCCCGCGGGGGCGCCCGCCTCTCAGGCAGGGACGCCCCGCGCAGCGAGGCCGAAGTGCCCGACCGAGCGGATGGCGGAGGCGCGCTCCGGCGGCGGGCGAGGGGGGCGGAGCGAGGAGGAGAAGGCCCTCTCGGGAGGCGGCGGTACTCCTCAGAAGCCCCCGCGCCTCCTGGGAAGTCGCCCGCGCCTTCGGGGAAGGCTCAGAAGGCTGTTCTCACAAGGCCGGGGGACTTCAGAGCCTTCGGAGGAAGCCTGCCATTTCTCCCTTCCACCCCCGGGGACTCGCCGCCGAATGTGCAGCATCCTTGCTTCATCGTGGCCTGACGCTACTCCTCCTCCTGCTCCTCCCTCGCCCTCCTCCCTCCCCCGCTCTCCTTCCTGCGTCTTCCGGAGTCCAAACAAGCTCGACGCACAGATGCGGAGAACGACGAGGACATGCAACCTGGACGCGCGAGCAGTGGGGCGAGAGGAAAGGGAGGGAGCACGAGGGGCCGAGCGCGCGCCAGAAGTGAGGAGACCACGGCGCCAGGACCCCGCGGGAGGGAAAAAGCAGGAGGAAGGATACCAGACGGGAGGAGGACGGGGAGGCACTCGTGCTCGGCGCCGGTGACGTCTGCAGACTCTCCGCCTCCCGCACGGGGCACGCGCCGGGCCGCAAGTCACCGGGCCACCGCGAGCGAGCTCAGGTCCTGCGTGGTGGCCGCCCTGCCCTTGGGGCCGCCCTGGTCCTTCTTCGCCCCCTTGCACTCGCCGAACCTGAAGCGAGCAGACCAGCTGCACAGACCGAAGCTCCCCCAGAGGCCCGGGAGGATCTCTCGGATCGGCGCCGGGCCCAGCCCCACGTGCGCGCGGAGCGGGCCAGGGGCGGACCCGGCGGCGCCGCCCAGGGGGGCCCAGCGCCGAGCCGAGGAAGCCGAGCGGACCTCCAGAAAGTTGTGTGTGTGGGTCTTGCGAGAGGTGCTCCTGGCACACGCTGGCCCCAGCACTTCCAGGGAGGCCCCCGCGGCCTCCAGAGCACCCCATCACGAGGCCCAGAGGGCCCCTGGGGCCCCAACACTGGGCTGAAGCTGGGGGCACCCTGGGCCAGGGGCACCTGCAGCAGCGCCAGATCCCACGGGCCCCCGAGGTACTGCTCGCCACTGCGGGGAGCACCCCCGCAACGGGGGGGGCCAAGGGCCTGTGTGCGGGTGGAAGGCAGTGGCCGACTTTGAGCATAAGAGGCTCCCAGGTGGGGTCGCGGGATCGCGCCACATCGCCGATGCCTCGGCGATGCATCGACGGCGTCGGCGATGCATCGGTGCCAGTAGCGTGGGTAAAGTCGGTCTCCGCATCGAGCCGCATCATCGATGCATCGGCGACGCGGCGCGATCCTCCGACCCAATCTGCGCGGACCCCAATTGGGAGGCCCAGACAAAAGGAGCCGAGACAGGCTTCCCTCTTTGAGCATCGTTTAACCGATCCCCCCTGTCCCCACTCTCGTGGCCTGGGCCCCACTGGCCCTTTTACCCTCCTGGATGGGGATATGGCCCGTTTCTGTCAGATTCTGCCTGGGGTTCTGGATGGGGATGGGGATAGGGGTCTGATGGGCCTGTTTTCCACAACCACCACCATATCTTGGAGGGGGAGGGGGTCCTCCTCCTTCTCCTCCTCCTCTTCGTCCTCCTCCTCCTCCTCCTCCTCCTCCTCCTCCTCCTCCTCCTCCTCCTCCTCTTGGTCCTCCTCCTCCTCCTCCTCCTCCTCTTGGTCCTCCTCCTCCTCTTCCTCCTCCTCCTCCTCCTTCCCCCTCCAACTTATGCTGGGGGTGGTGGAAAACAGGCCCATCAAGGGGAAGGGGCTTACACTTCTCGTACCACACGAACAGGGCGCCCGGCGGCCGAGGAGAAAGAAGGATGAGGAGGATGAGGAGGATGAGGAGGAGGAGGAGGAGGAGGAGGAGGAGGAGGAGGAGGAGGAGGAGGAGGAGGAGCAAGAGGAGGAGGAGGAGGAGGAGGAGGAGGTGAGAGGAGGGAGGAGGAGAGAGGAGGATGAGGAGGAGGAGGAGAGGAGGAGGAGGAGGGAGGAGGAGGGAGGAGGAGGAGGAGGAGGAGGAGGAGGAGGAGGGGAGGAGGAGAGGAGGAGGAGGAGGAGGCAGAGGAGGAGGAGGGGGAAGGAGGAGCCCGGACCCCAAGGAGGCCCCCCCGCTCGGCCGCTGTCGTGGACGCAGAACTCGTCGCTGTCGGCCTCGGACCTCGGCGGCTCGGGCACGGGCTCGCCGGCCTCCGGCGCCGGGCGGGGGCCTCCGGCGTGCCTGCGGGCGGGGTGGCGGGGCCGCCGCCGCCGCCGCCCTCGGTCCTCCCTCCTCCTCCTCCTCCTTCTCCTCCTCCTCCTCCTCCTCCTCCTCCTCCTCCTCCTCCTCCTCCTCCTCCTCTCCTCCTCTCCTCCTCCCCCTCCTCCTCTTCCTCCCCCTCTTCCTCCTCCCCCTCCTCCTTCATGGCAGTCGTGGCGAGTGAATAGCGAGTGATTGGCGGGGTCGAGCTTCGAGATTTAGGTTCAGGTCGATGTAGGTTTAAAAGTCGGTTCGAGCCTCGAGCCTCGATCGAGCTTCGCCAAAATTGCAGAACATACTCAAAAAAGATGGTCGAGCTTCGATTTGGGTCCAAGTCGATGCAGGTTTAAAGTCGATTCGAGCTTCGAGCCTCGATCGAGCTTCGCCAAAATTGCAGAACATGCTCAAAACATGGTCGAGCTTCGAGATTTAGGTTTAGGTCGATGTAGGTTTAAAATCGATTCGAGCTTCGAGCCTCGATCGAGCCTCGCCAAAATGGCAGCAAATACTCTAAAAATGGTCGAGCTTCGATTTGGGTCTGAGTCGATGCAGGTTTCAGTCGATTCGAGCTTCGAGCCTCGATCGAGCTTCGCCAAAATGGCGCAAAAGATACTCAACAAAATGGTCCCCCGACTATGTTCGGTCTATTATTGGATATTCCCCTAGAGCTACAGAGGGACAAGCCCGACTTAAATCTAGGTCGGGCGTGTCCCCCTGCAAGCGGAGTTCGGACGGAAGCTAACACATCAAGGACAGCTCGTCCCCATGTGATGTTTTACCGTGTTTGGCGTTATGTTCCTCCTGCGGGAGGACAGGCCCGACCCAATCCTCGCTCCTCGATCCTCGATCGGCCCTCGATCCTCGCTGGCCCCCCAATCGCCGACTCCTCGCCGAGAGGGGCCGCCCGGACAGGGTCCGAGCCGATGGGGCCTGAAGATCGCGCCGACGTCGCCGATATGCATCGCCGAGGCGTCGGCGCTGGGGGCATGGAGGGAATCGAATGGTGCTCCACGCCGAGCAGCATGGCCTCGCCCATGCATCTCCGAGAAGCAACGGGGACCCCACGGCCGCCGAAGGCCCATCGGGGATGGGGAACGGAGCGACCCCTGGGCAGTGCCACGCTCGAGCGCCACCCGGCACCCGACGACGCCCAGGCCTGCCCTCACAGATGAAGGGGAACTGGGACACACAAATAAATGCAAGAACAAATAACAGGACTCCCGCTATTTTTTCACATTCCCTGGGCTTTTGTCTTCCCCCCCAACTCCCATATTTTTCAACATTTTCCTGGGAGTCGACGATCAATTGTGCCTGTGTGTTTTTGTTCCCTCCCGAACAAGAGTGGCGCTCCTCCTCTCGGCGCAGGGCGGGCGGAGCCCCTGGAGGCTCCGAGGATCGATGCCCCCGGGCCCCCCGACAGGGGGCCTAGTTGCGCACCCGCTCGCCGCGCTGCGTCCGGCCGTGGCGGCGATGCTCCCCCCACAAAAATCGGGTCGGGCGAAAGAGAGGGGGATAGCAAAGGGGGGGGGTTGAGAATCAGCTCGCGTAGCTGATTTTCCCGGCGCCTCCCGGCGCCGGAGGCGCCCGTGTCTCGAGGAAGGGGCCCCTCGGTCGGGCCGAAACCAGCTGCATGCAGCAAATTCCGTACCCCCCCCTTTCCCAGTCCCCCCCGTTCGTCCGGCCCGACAGAAGGCCCGCTGCCCGTCGTCTCGGCTCAACCCTCCTCTGATCCTCGGAGCATCGGCGCCGCCGATGCAGAGAGGAAAGCTGGGTTCCACGCCGAGACCGTCGCACCGCCGATGCACCGGCGATGCGATGCGCGAGCCTCCGACCCCCACAGACGCGGCACAAGCTTCGGACGTGTGCGGGCGGGGGGGGGTCCCCGCGGGCGGGGGCGCAGCCCGCTGCTGAGAGAAGGCCCCGCCCTCGGGCGCGGCCTGGCCGACCGCTCCCGTGACGAGCCCTCTGCCCTGGATCGAGGACCTGCTGACCCAGGCCAATCCGATCCCAGGCCAGCCGGGCCTTGCAGGATTCTGCAGGATCCTGCAGGATCCAGCGCCCAAGCCCGGGTCAGTGCAGCCATGGCTCCGCAGGATCTTGCAAGATCCGGCGCTCTGAAGACCCCCGCCTCTTGAGCCCCGACTGGAGGCTCCCCTCAGGCCGCCGGCCCACGCATCGGATGAGCACGACGGGGCGGGATCCTGAGAAAACGCGGGCCCTGGAGACCTGGGTCTCTTCCCCAAGACCTGCTTCTCATCCCGAGTCTCCCGCGGGCGGTCCGAGAGGGCCCGTGGATGATGGCCCACAGGGGAGCTAGAAGCAGGAGACTGGTGCGGCAAGTCGCGGAAACCCTCCTTGATTCTTCCTGGGTTTTTTTGTTGGAAGGTTTGGGCCCCGATTGCAAGGGGTGTGGCTTGCAGCCCGCGCCCTGGGGGGGGGGGCGGGCGAGGACCTTGACGGAGCTCTCTGCCGCGCCCCGACGAGGTCTCGTCCAGCTTTTTGGCGCAGCGCGGGGGCCTGTCGAGCCCCAACGGCGCCCACTGCAAACCTCGCCCGGACCCCTGGAGTCCACTCGCCGAGAAGAGGGCCGAGAAGGGGGCCGACCTCGCCTGGGGCCAGTGAAGGGGACCCCGGGGACACGCAAATAAATGCACACACGAATAACAGGATGACCCATATGTTTTCCATATTTTCTGGGTGTTTGTCTCCCCCTCCACTTTCCATACTTCTCCATATTTTGTCCTAGGGATCGACGATTCCTTGTGTCTCTGTGATTTTTCCCTCCTGAGAGAAGGGGGCCCGAGGAGGGGGCCCGGCTGGGCCGCCCCAGCTCCCAAGCGGCGACGGCGAGCCCCGCCCCGCCCGTGGACGGCCGTCCGAGGACCGAAGATTCGCAGAGCACCCTGCAGCAGCGCGCCCTGCAGTGAAACAAGGGCTCCCAACTTCGCGCTCTCGCGCGGCGCGGAGCGCGAAGTGCGAATCTAACTTCGCGCTCGCGCGCCGCCTCCCAGGGGAGAAGAGGAGGGCGAGGAGGAATCGGAGCCGAAGCGCGAAGAGCTTCGCGCCCTCGAGGGCGCCCTTGGTGGAAGCTGCCAGGGGCACTCCTGGGAGCGGCGCGGGGGATGCCGAGGGGTTACCAGTGGATGCCAAGGTGGGTCGTATCTGGCCTGACCGAGCGTATACCTGGGCTGACGGTTCGGGCAAGGTGGGCTCCGCTCACTTGGCGGAGTTCTCTCGACCCCTCGACCCCCGTAAGCCACTTGGGCATGTTTAGCCCCCTCGTAAGACAAGTTAGGCCAGAAATATAGCCCACCTCGGCATCCACTGAACACCCTTGCATCCCCTTGGCACTCACCGCACCGATCCCACTCAACGTTCTCACGGCACTGCATTCCGCATAGACCCCAACAAGGCACCTGATCGATGCCCAACACAACCAAGTCCATACGGGGAACCGAACGTCGATTAGCGAGACCGACTGGGAACTGCAGCGGCACACTCGGATGCCAATGTCGACAGAGAGCCAGCGCACACGTCACAGTTCGTCAAGCGACCTGCCTGGGCGGGTGTTCGATCCCCCAAAAATAGTCCAAACATAATCCAAAAATAGTCCGGGGACTATTTTTTGAACATTTTGTACCTGTTTGGGGTATTTTTGGGCCATCTTGTATTTTTCATCGAAAATCCCCCTGTAGGGGGACACGCCCGACACAACCTTATGCTGAAGAGGCGATGCCTCCTTGCGTGCGTTTACGCCGAGCCCACCGAGCCCTGGAGGTGCAATGTCGCCTCCCGTCGTGATTTGTCGAGATCGAGTTTCCAAGGCAACCGCGCGTCTGCGCGCGCGGGAGAGGCAATAGCCTGCAACCCTCCGCGGGGTCGGTGCCGGACACACCTCCCAGACGGGCCTGGCCCCCCAAATCCTGGCGTCGGAGATCCACCGACCCAGGTCCCTCCAGACCAGGGTCGGTCCTGCCTCGCAGGAGGATCTGCCGGATCCTGCACCCGAGCCCGGGGCAATGCGGCCCCTGGAATCTGCAGGATCCTGCAACGTCCGGCGCTCTGACGGACCCCCGCTTGCATCGGCCCCCGCCTCTCGAGCCCCGATGGCGTTTGCTGTTTTTTTCGAGCCTGGCGTGCACGCCCGGCCTCGGGCCCCAGGACCCGCACGCGTCAACCCGGCTCGAGCAGCTGCCCGGAGCGATGGGGTCGGCAGCTCTGCTCTCACGACGTCTCGCGAGGTCGCTGGGGGGGCAGGAAGGGGCAGGAAGGGAGAACGAAGGGGAAGGGGAAGGAAGGGGGGGGGGCGAGGAAGCGAAAAGGGGGGAAGGACGTTTTCACGACGTCGTTGGGGGGGAAGGAAGAGAGAAGGGGTAGCGATTCGCTGGCAACGTCGGATATCGGGGGGGGGGTCCAGGGCCGCCCTACTCGGGCGCTGCTTCGTGGGGGAGGGGAGGGGGGCTCAACTGGGGGAAAAGCCTGCACCCGGCCGCTCCCCTCCTTGGGCCCTCCCAGGGGGGGGAGCTCTCCTGGGGCCCACCAGGGGCACAACAGGCGCACCTCTCCTCACCCCCCCACGTTTATCCCCCCCCTTCCCCGTCCCAGCGCCGCAACGCCCGACCCATGCATCCCCCCCCCGCGGCTCCAGCACCGCGCCCCCCCCCCCCGGGCCCCTGGCCGACGAGGGCTCGCTTCCCCGCTGGCCCTGACAGCCGAGGTCGTGATCTCTTTCGCAGCGTGGCCCGCTGCATGTCGCGGGCTCGGCGGACGCAGGGGGTGGTCGAGGGGTTACGCGGTTGACCAGTGGATGCCAAAACGGCTTCGGGGGGCTAGCGATCCGGGCCAGCGGAATCGCCTCGCCCTGCGAAGCCACCTGGGGCACTCGGAAACACTTAGAAGGTAATCGTGTCCGGCCAGTGATAACCCACATTGGCATCCACTGATAAGCCCCCTTTTATTCCCTTTATTAGGCGATCTCAGTAGGCTTGGGTCGGTTTGCGAATAAGCAGGGTATCGCCGAGACATGGGCGGATGAAGGAGGGCGGGCGAAGAAAGAGAGATATGACCTGCGGGGGCGGCACTCAAAACAGGAAGACTGCATGATGACACCGCTGCGGCAGTGGTGTGCCCATTTTCCACGACCACTACCATAGGTAGGATGGGGAATAAGAAAGGATGGGGAGGTCCTCCTCCCTCCTCCTCCTCCTCCTCCTCCTCCTCCTCCTCCTCCTCCTCCACCTTCTCCTCGTCCATTTTCCGTGTGTTTAACTCCTTCCCTGTCGCACCCCGAGGTCAGTCGAAAGGGCTGGCCGGGCAGTTCGCCTAAGACTTCCTCATCACGTTCGACTCTGATGCTGACAGATTGGCAACAGCTTCAACAAATGAAGGCGGGTGGTCTTCAAAATGTAGCTCTCGCCAAGGCGCCGCGCGCATTCGTTTCAAACATGCAGGAGCCTCACCGATTGAGGGAAACTTGTTTACAAAGTGTTGTTCTCGCCTTAGAGCCACGCACATTCTGTGTAAGCATGTGAAGGACGTTCACGGATCGAGGGTGGGTCGTTTTCAAAATATGGCAATCGAGTGCAAAGAGCTTCACGGATTTAGGGCGGCTCCTTCTCAAAAGGTGGATGGATGTCACCTTAGCGCCGCGTGCATCTTTGTGAAGAATTGTCAGAGTTGTCACGGATTGTGCGTGGCCCAAAATGTGGTTCTCGCCTCAGCGCCGCGCACATCCGTTTTAAACATGTGCAAAGAGTTTCACGGATTGAGGGCAATGTCTTTCCAAAGTGTGGCTCTCCTCTTAGCGCCGTACACATTCGTTTCAAATATTTGCGAAGGTTGCGCTGCTTCTCATAGCTAACGTGCTAGAAGTGGTGGTTTGGAACGACTTAGGATTACCAGGGCGCAACAGTTACTTTGATTCGCGGTGAAATCCTAGGAATGGCATTCTGGCACGATTCAGGATCGCCAAGACGTAACAGTTATCTTAACAAGTGGCGTTGAAGTCCACCGAATGGTGTTTTGACACGCTCCAAGGAGTTCACACGGTTGTCCCCCAACGGGGAAATGCCCTCAGTGGAAATGACCCCCTGTATGGGGCCTGTGAAGAAGGTTCTTGGAGGGAGGGTGCCTTTCAACATCAATGACGAGTCTTGGATTTGCACTGGTCCTCCTCCCCCCCCCTCCTCCTCCTTCTTCTCCTCCTCCTCCTCCTTCTCCTCCTTCTCCTCCTTCTCCTCCTCCCTCTCCTGCCTATGGTAGTGGTGGTGGTGGAAAACCGGCCCATCAGGTAGAATACCCACATGAATGCGCCACGGATGTCGGGAAACGCATGCACCTTCGGAGATCTCTGGCTTGGCGCAGCGGTCGCCTGCCTGGCGCGCGGAGCGTGCCAGCCCAGGGGGGCCCACCGCCAGCCGGAGATACCCGCGCCGACCTCCGCTCTTACTGGCCACGGGAGACGGCACGGTTATGCTTGAACCAATTCCGCTTGCCAGGTTCTCTGCCGCGGCGCACTTTATTTCACGCTGCCGTCGGCGTGGGTCCTCCCGGGTCCGGTTCTGGCTCCCGTCCCGGAACCGAATTTCTTCTGGTTCTGGGAGCACTTCGTTTTCACGTTTTTCTAAAAGTCGACCTGTATCATAAGGATGCACGATGAGGATGCAAGGGCCTTGGAAGGCCGTTTCGAAGCTTTCCGACGGGTCGCGGCCAACGAGAGGATGCGGGGGTACCTTTGCTTATTATGCGGGTTGACTGTACCCCAGAAAAGACTCCTTGACAACGAGTGAAACAGGCCCTGCTGCTTCCTGGGCCCATGAAGCGCCCGCCCCCCTTGCGCGGCGTGCCTGCGCCAATCGCCCCCCAGCGTCTCCACGAACACGCGGGACCTGGGGAAACCCAAGCACTTAGTGGGCCTCGGAAGCGGCAGGGACGTTTTTTCACCGTTTCCGAAAAAATGTACATGGCAACCGGAAGCGGCAACAAAAGCGCGAAACGGCAACCGGAAATGGCAACAAAAACTGCTCCAAGAGTGGAACCGGAACGGGAACCCGCAAAAAAAACGGCGACGGAACCGGTCAAAAAACGCCGTCGGAACCGGCAACAAAAACGGCAAAACGGAACGGGTAAAAAAACGGCCCTGTCGTTTCCAGGGCCCACTAAGCCCAAACATACCCATAGCACTTCCCGGCCTTCTCCCGGGGGGGCTTCTGGCCAGAACTTTCTGGCGAATCCAGCCGTGGCGACGAGGCCCTCCGTGGGTCCACCGAAGTCTAGACACCTTTCCCAGAGCATTTTTCGATCACGAAAAATCGTGTTGCCAGTCCCGAGGCCCGACAAGGGCCGCAGGAGGTCGAAAACACAGAAAGCATTCCACTGTGATTTTGTCCAAGATTCAAGAACCGAGGGGGATCTGCCTTTTCAGAAACCTACCGCATGGGTTGGAATAGATGGGGTCGGGATATCGTCGATGCATCACTGACGCATCGTCGATGCATCGTCGACGTCGGCGATGCATCGGCGACGTAGGGGCGGAGAAAAACGGGTTCACATCGAGGCACCATCGGCGGAACGGCGCGACCCTCCGACTCCTCCTGCTTGGACCGCATCTGGGAGGCATCGGGCTCCTCTTAAAGTAAAGGATCGCCTACATAATCGATTTACCCCTAAAATTGTTTTTTTTCCATCGAATCAACGAAAAGTGCGTCGAATGATCCGTAGATCGATTGATCATTCGATGCGTTTTGGGTGGGTCCGACGGATGAATCTTTTTGGGGGTACAGCGATTCTTTAGTCGATCCCCTATTATTAGGCCGGGCCTGTCCGCCTACGGGCCGAGTTTGGAGGAAACATGAAGAATAGTCAACAAAAAACAAATGTTCAAAAACAGTCAAAACATCGTCCCCAGATTATTTTCTACAATTGTTGCATATTCCTCCTGTAGAGGGACAAGCCCGACTTAAACCCAGGACTGGAACCACAGGAAAGATCTACGGGAACATACGTAGAATACAACAGGGGTTCGCACCCAAGGGGAGGCACAATCTATAGCAACATAAGGGAATCCCATGGGCTTGAGGCCAGGGGGGAAGGGCAATCTACAGAAACACATTTTTTGGTCGCGGCCGCGGGCGAGAGCGCAAACGGCGAGTCGTAAGTCCGGGGCGCGGGCCTACTACTTGACAACAGGAGCAAACAAGAGCCGCGCACCTAAACTGCCTAAGCTGCCCAAGCGGCGCCTCAAGTGAGCTGCAAGCTGCGCTGCGTGAGGCCAGGGGCAGGGGCAGAAAGCGCTCACAAAGCGAACATGCAAGCATGGCGGTGGCTGCCAGGGTGGCATCTACAGGAACACGCGTAACATACAGGCTTCGTGCCCCAGCGAAATCTACAGGCTTCGTGCCCGCCGATCCCCCATTCCGCTCCTCTGGAGACCAGCGCAGGATCTCCTCGCGCTGCGCGAGGGCCTCGTCATCGCCCCGCGCGTGGGCGGCGTCGGCGAGCCGCTGCATAGCCTCCGGGGGCGTCGGCGAGGGGGGGCGACAGATCGTGCAAGATGAAGCCAGGACGAAGACAACTTCGGGCGAGGAGGAATCGAGAAACTTTGAGATCCGGCAGCTCTGGAAGACGTCACTGGCGCCGCGGCATTCTCAGAGCGTTCCTGTACGCTCTGAGAGCGTTCCGGAACGCCCTGGAACGGAATTATTCTCGTCCTATGCCCCCGTCTGAGGGCGTCAAGTAGGGGCGCCAACAAATCGTGGCCCGAAGCGTGTGTGCCGAAGAGGGCAAGATCCGTCAGAGTCAGCATCCAACCTGGAAATCGGACCGGGTCGGAAGGCAGGTCGAGTCAGGCGGCGTCGGCAACGGAGTCGGCGTCGAATCGGATCTGCTGCGCCAGGATGCACCACGACGCCACGTGTCAACATGGGGCGCAGATCCTCCTCCTCCTCCTCCTCCTCCTATTCCTCCTCCTCCTCCTCCTCCTCCTCCTCCCTCCCTCCCTCCCTCCCTCCCTCCCTCCCTCCCTCCTCCCTCCCTCCCTCCCCCCCTCCGCCTCCTCCTCCTCCTCCTCCTCTCATCCTCCTCCTCCTCCTCCTCCTCCTCCTCCTCCTCCTCCTCCTCATTTTCCTCCTCCTCCTCCTCCTCCTCCTCCTCCTCCTCCTCCTCGTCCGAGCATCGGGATTCGAATCGGATCGGGCCAGCCATAGCCGGCATCGAGGCGGCCGCGTCGGATCGAAGTGCGGGCCCCGCGGGGGCGAGCGAGCGAGGGGCCGTAATTACGGTCGGCCCGCTCGGGGCGAGCTGCGTGGGGCCGTGGCCCCCAGATGTAGGAAAACTGCAGCAACTTGGAGGAGGAGGCGGAGGAGGAGGAGGCGGAGGAGGAGGAGGAGGAGGGGGAGGAGGAGGAGGAGGAGGAGGAGGAGGAGGGAGGAGGAGGAGGAGGAGGAGGAGGAGGAGGAGGAGGAGGAGGAGGTCAGAAACGGTCGCCTTAGCCCCAGGGGGCTCGTTTATGTACCGTTTGGGTACCTTTTCGGACCAGCCTCGCCACCCCTCCATGTATGACCCCCCCATGACGCAACGCCCAATCAACAACGGATTCCGTTGTTCCGGGTTGTCTGCGGCATATGATGTCCAAGCACAAGCATTCGTGTCTCCAGGGACGTACGGAGAAAAAGACAAGGCCACGACATCCGGGGCGATACCATGGCTCCTGCTGTAACCCCCCCCTCGTAGAGGGCTTAACGATCTCTGCCGTCCCCCGAGAGCCCTCCCAGACGGCCCAAGAGGCCACCGAAATGGATCCAAGAGGGCCCCCACACGGGAGCCCGGACGAACATTTCGAGCCCTCGGCTCCGAGAAGCTCCCAGGAGGCCCCAAGAGGCCCCTAAGAGGCCCCCCACGGGGCCCCGAGACGCCCCAAGGAAGCTCGAGGGGACCCCTAGGAGGCTCCCAAGAGGCCCCCAAATGCTCCAGAGGGGCCCCAAAACTGCTCCCCAGAGACCTACGAGCGCGCTCCGAAGAGGCCCCGAGAAGCACCACTGAGGACTCTGCCCCACGTCAACATCGTCGTCACCGCCGACGCCGCCATCGTGGTCGTCGTCCCCCTTCAGGGTCGGCGGCACCGGCAGTAAGGCCTTCCCAATAAAGGCGGCCATGACATCCGGTGAGATACCATTGCTCCTGCCAAGAAATCTCCCCCCCGTTGAAGGCGTAACGACTTCTGCCGACCCCTGACCCGCAGCAGGGTGGAACCAACATCACCGCCGCCGTCGCACTAAGCAGTGCTAACGGAGAAGGAGGAGAAACAGGAGGAGAAGGAGGAGGAGGAGGAGCAGGACGAGGAGGAGGAGGAGAAGGAGCAGCAGGAACAGGGGCAGGAGGAGGAGGAGGAGCGAGCACGATGTGCTCCGAGTTTCACTGGCGGTTTTTGGACTTAGCCAGCTCTGCGAAGATCGGCCTGGCTTTCTCTGCAGTTGCCTTCCTCTGTCCAGCTTGATCCCCCCAGTCCATCGGAGAGGGGGCCCCCCAGCCACGACCCCCTCCCGTGGCAACTCGTGGGCGCCTCCCGTGTCAGATTGCTGGCTCTGGCGAGTCGAATGACCGACGGCAATCGATACACAGCGGCACCAACCCGACTGCCAGACGCTAGAGGACGCTGACGCACTCGAATAAAGGAACGACAAGCAATAAACTTTTGAAGGGGTCCGCGCGGGTTTCCAAGATCGGCGCTGGAACCACCTCCCTGGCGCGCGGAGCGCGCCAGGGGCGGCGCCAGAGGCGCCGCCAGGGAGTCCCTGCGCGGATCCGGGGAATCGGCGCGGAGCGCCGACAGTTACTGCTTATCTGTTGTATGTTTTCTTCTTCGATCGAGCGACGGAGTTCCAAGGACTGCAAGGCTCCCATGAGCTGCTGCCGAGACCCCCCTCGTGACCGCCCCCGGGGCCTTCACGAGCTTCACCCGCTGGCCAGCCAGCCGCACGCGCGACGCGGGGGCGCAAGCGAGCAGGTTGCCCACCGCGCAGCAGCCCGCCAGGGCGGCGGCGACCTGGCGGGATCGGTCCGCATCGGGTCGGGCAGTCGGGTCGCATCCCAGGCTTTTACGTCGCAGCTAGACGAGCGCGTTCCACTACTCGCAAGGTAACTACTCGCACAACTGGCCGGGATACGCCGCGGGGGATCGACGGCAAATCACATCCAGGCCGACGTGTGATTCTTCGGACACTTGCGAGTCGGCACGTTGCGGGCAGTGCAACGCGCTCGGTGAGCAGCGCGGCAGGGGCGATGCGCACGCGCGCCTTGAGCGAGGCCGGGGCACGGCGCCGCGGAGGAGCCCGCAGGCGGCGAGGGCGGGGGAAGGGCGCGGGGGGGCGGCCGCAGAGTTTGGGGGGGGAGCAGGGCGCGAGGGAGCCCTCCTCGCGCGGCGCGGCTGCGGCGAGCGCGCGGGAGGGCCGCTGGGCCGGAAAGCGGCCCCCGGCAGCTGCGTCGCATCCCAGACAGGCTGCCGGTCGAGTCTCAGACGGGTGCTTTCCACGACGCGAGCCAGACGGCCGAAGCCCAGGCAAGCTCGCGTCGTGAGAGAAGCGAGGATCGAGGATCGGTCGTGGATCGAGGATCCGGGCCTTTGGGCGCTGGCCCCCGTCACGTGGCCACGGCCGGCCATCCCCCTCGAAACCCTGGTCAGGAAGTGAGGTCCGACACTCGATCGAGCTTTGACCCCTGAACCTAGCCCCCCCCCCTTCCACGCCCTCCGCCTCCTCCTCGACCCCGTCCACCTCGTCCATGTCCTCCTTCTCCTCCTCCTCCTCCTCCTCATCCTCCTTCCCCCTCCTCCTCCTCTCCTCCCCCTCCTCCCCCTCCTCCCCCTCCTCCCCCTCCTCTTCCTCCTCTTTCCCCCGGGGGCCCAGAAATGCTCGCGCCATGGAAAAAACCGAGACGACGGCCACGGCGACGACGGCGGGCACGACGCCTCGCCGCCCAAGAGGCGCCACTGAACGCTGGCGGGACCCTGCGCGACGCTGAAGCCCCGACCAGGTTTTCCCCGCCCCCCCCCTGCCCGCCCCACCTCTGGTGTTGCATGTGTCCCTGGCCCGGGGCCAGAGCCCCCTCGCGTCATTAAAGGGGCCCTCAGAACACAAATACATAGATACAAATCCCAGCATTCTCGATCCTTCCAATATGTTCTGGGTTTTCGCCTTCCCGCCCGCTTCCCACATCATCCTTGGATTCGACGATTCATTGTGCTTGTGTTTTTTGTTTCCCCCCCCCCCGAGTCATGGAAAACGCGGGCGGAGAGAATCTCGCTATCCTTGGCTCCCTGGCCCACTGACGGGCCCTGGGACCGTCAAACGACTGCTCAAGATGAGAAGCGGGTTCCCCGCGAGGGGCTCCCGATCTCCGGCGGTCCATGCGACAACAGCAAATCATCAGGAGGGAAAGAAACACACAGACACAATTAATCGTCGACTCCCAGGAAAATATGGAAAAATATGGGAAGTGGTGGGGAAGACAAAAACCCAGAAAATATGGGAAAATATGGGGGATATTTTTATTTGTGTGTATGTATTTGTGTGTTCCAGTTCCCCTTCAAATCATGACGTCGGAACGTGGGGCCGAATCTTGAGCAGGGACCGACCGTCCTGGCATTTCGACAGGCCTACACCCTGCGAAATGCTTTAGAAATCATGGGTTAAGAAATTCATAGTCTCAGAATAAGAAAAAACATAATGTCTATTCAAAAGTTAGGATTTACATTGAAACATTAAGAATAATCGAGACTCTGGCCGAAAACCTGGGTTTTCTTAAGCATCGCCTGGAGTGTACCACGAAGTGTTCTTGGAACCCCCATGCCCTGGTAACAAAGGCAATATCCTCAGAACACAAACGAGACGTGTGAGACAAGACAGTCACAGCCAGAAGGGTTCTGAGGATATGTCGTGGGAGCCACAACAAAGGTTTGTAGAACATTCTTTGGAAGGCCTATAGGCGAGACAAGACTTGGGCGCCCGAGATATCCGGGGTAACTCGGGCCCGGGGCAACTCGGGCTCGGATTCCCGAAAAACGAACCCGAGTTAGCCCTGACCCGAATTATCCCTGATGATTCGGGGCTCTGGACGCCCGAGTTATCCAGGGTAGCTCTGGCCCGGGGCAACTCAGGTTCGGATTCCCGAAAAACGAACCCGAGTTAGCCCTGACACGAATTATCCCTGATGATTCGGGGCTCTGGACGCCCGAATTATCTGGGGTAGCTCGGGCCCGGGGCAACTCGGGCTCGGATTCCCGAAGAACGAACCCGAGTTAGCCCTGACCCGAGTTATCCCTGATGATTCGGGGCTCTGGACGCCAGAGTTATCCGGGGTAGCTCGGGCCCGGGGCAACTCGGGTTCGGATCCCCGAAGAACGAACCCGAGTCAGCCCTGACCCGAGTTACCCCTAATGATTTGGGGCTCTGGACGCCCGAGTTATCCGCGGTAGCTCGGGCCCACGGGCAACTCGGGTTCGGATTCCCGAAAAACGAACCCGAGTTAGTTGGGAGTCCCAAAACCGTGTGGTGACGGACCCGGCAGTGACCTCGAAATCCGCAAAGACCTCACCGCAGGGTCCGTCACCACACGGTTTCGGGACCCTGGAGGCCCCAGCCGCCAGAGACACCCTCGGAGAACGGCCCAAGTCCCAAAACCGTGCGGCGACCCCGAATCCCCAAAGACTCACCACACGGTGTGGTCACCACCCCGTTTGGGGCCCCCCGAGTTGGCCCTGACCCGAGTTGCCCCTGATGACTCGGGTCTCTGAAGGACGCTCCGCCCCTGCTGGAGCATCGGCACGCGCGTCGCGGATCGGGCACCGCCGGCACGGACACTCCGCACCAAAGGCCGGCTCGGCCGCGCCCGGAGTTCGAAGCGGAGCCACGCAAGCACCGGGCCGCACCGGGAATTCGCCAGAGCAGCGGCATCCAGCCGTAGCTCGGGCGTGTCCTCCTACAGTCGGATCCTGTAAAGAATGAGAAGTAGCCAGAACAATGTCCCAAAATGGTCAAAACAACGAATCGAAAATCGTCCCAAGACTACTCTTCACTATTTTTGAATATTCCTCTTGTACAGGGACACGCCCGCCTAAAATCCAGTCGGATGAGGGCCGTCCGAGCGCGATGTCGAAGCACCTTTTTCCCACAGGAGTGCACTCTGACCAGCATGCTGTGGCGAATCCGGCTGCACGCGACGAGCGCTCTGCAGGTTCCAGGGTGAGTAGCGGCGTCGGCGACCTGTCTTCCTGTGGGATCGGAACGACAAAATGGGCCCCCGCCTGGCAGTGCGGGGAAGCGAGCGTCTCCAGCAGGACCTCCGCGTGGGGCTCCACCAGGGCGGCACCCTCCTCGGGGTCCGCACATTTCTGTGCACCAGGGTGCGAGGGCCTCGAGGGCCTTCGCCCGGGACATGGTGCACACAACGTCTCTCGCTCGCGCACCCACCCTGAAGAATGTCCACGGTCAACCACAACCTTGCCACGAGATGAGGACTCTTGTCGTTCTGAGTCCTCATCTGTCAGAATTAAATGTGTGTTGTTTTTCTCCCCAACCCGCGTGTGCGTCTCAACGCGTGCGTGTACCAAGCGCGCCACGGCCGAGCTCACGAGCACGGCGTCGAGGACATGCGCAAGTTTTGTGGCAGCCAGCCCGCCCTCATGAGGGTGGACCACCAGGGCAGCACGTGCCTGGATGCCTTGCTGCGCCCGCGTCGGCCAAAGCCTGCGTGACAGGATGCCTCGAGATGTCTATCCGGCCCCAAGCACTCAGGAGCGAGAGCCATCCGGGGTCCAGGCGCACGTGTGCGCACCTCTCCCGAGGGACAGCAGGTGCCCCGCCCGCCTGGAAGACCAGCTCCCTCAGGCGGGCACCTGGGTCAGCACGTGGCCATCGACAGGGAGGCAACTTGTGCCCCACTGCCAACGAGTTCCACGTTACCTCAGCACCCTGTCCCAACACAGCAGCACGCACCGGCTCCAGATCACCCCGCTTTAAGACGAAAGGCGAAGCGAAATGCAAAGGCGTGTGAGATGATAGGCCGTCCCCCTCCCACGTCCCCCTTCCCCTGGGGAACCCTGGGGTGGGGAGGACGGCGGGGTGTGGAGGGGGACGCGCTCGCCTACGCACCCCCTGTGGCCTCCGGAGCGGGCTCCAACACGCCAAGGAATCTTCAACGACCGACGCCCATAGAGGGCACCAATACGACCCCCGAGAGGGCCCCCAAAAGGAACAATCGTTTAAACTCCGCTGGACATCGTATAATTGTGTTGGAACTGTTCGCATGTTTGATCGCAACCGCGTCAAAAACGGGTCAGGAAACCTGGAGCATCGCCCCAAGCCGGCCCAAGACACCGCCAAGACGACCCCAAAACGATCGAAGAGGGTTCCAAAACGATCCAAAAGAGCGCCAACAAGGCCTCAATAACGGCACAAGAGAAGTACCCGGACTGATTCTGAACCCTCCGCTCCTGAGACCGCGAGTAAGCGCTCAAAAACTCGCGAGAAGAGAAAACCGGCTGCGCTGGTCGGACAACGCTACGAGAGAAGACTTCGGAGACAGAATCTGGGACCAAGTCCGCTCCAGCAGTACTTGAGCATTGCAACGCGACACATACCATAACACATCCCTTTCAAAAAGGCACGGTGGGGCCCCCATGGGCCCCCCCAAGGTCCTAAAGAGGCCCAGAAAAAATGTCACTTCTGGCCGTCATCCCTCCTCGGGGGGCCGGCAGAATGGCGCAAGCTTCGTGAAAAAAACTATAGCGTGAGATGAGTATTGCTACTTGTCTCTGTGTCACTTCGAGCATGCAAGTGTTCGGCAGATGCCAGTGCGTGTACAGAGGGCGGGCCCCATCTCATGAATTTCTGCCCCAGTCGAAATATATGGTAATTGAAATGAGAAATCCGCCGCTGCGCCGCTGGGCACAGAGCGGGCGCGTCCTCAAGTCATGGGCCCAATCCTCGAAGCCTCCGTCTGCACTCGTGAGTAGTAGTCTTGAGGGGGCCTGGGCCCCGAATTCTCGAGTCGTCGTGGGCTTGGCGCGGTGTCTTGTGATGTTTCTGGCCCGGGAGGGCCCGAAGACGAACCCCTCGTGCCCCAAAAGGCCTCCAAAACGGCCAAAGACGGCCTCGAGTCGCCGAATGATCGCCCAAGATGACCTCCAGAGGCGTCCAAAACGCCACAAGACGTTGCAAAGAGGCTTCCCAGAGGAGCCCCCAGATCTCAAAATTACGGATGTGCCTCCAGTGTTTGAAACAGTTGGGCGTTTTCGTCTTTTCGGTTCCCCGACGCTCCCAAACAGGCCCACAGGCCCCCAAGACCGCCCCATGACGGCCCAAGTGGCCTCTAAGAGGGCCGCAAGACAGCCCAGAGGGCCCGCCAAGGGGCGCCCCACGCGGCCCAAGAGGACCCGAGGCCAGCCCCAAAAGGGCACCCAAAAGGGCACACAAATCTACACCTCGAGCCTTCCGCCCCAAGAGGCTCCCCAGGACGCCCCCGTGAGGCCCCGAGAGGCACCCGGAAGGGCACGAAAGGCACAGAAGAAGCCACAGAAGACCCCCAATAGGCCCATAAGAAATCCTAAAAGGCCTTCACACGGCACCCAAGAAGCCTCAAAGTGCCTCCTCGAGTCCACCGATAGCCTCCCATGAGATCCCAAAGCGCATCCCCGTAGTCTTCGCGCCTTCAACCCAGGCGCGGTGGCGAGATGGGCCGAACATTCGATGCTTGAAGATCTTCTGTCCTGAACGAGCATAATCGCAGCGTGCATCAACGGGAGTGTCCTGCAAGCGGGGCTGCAGCCCGGCAGCATCCATGCAAATGACTGCGGGATGGACACATTCTCAAACGCCCCGTTCACCAATGGGCCGATGCAGTTCGCCGCGAGGCGGATGCGCTCAAGGCCTTGGCCCGTCGCTCCATCTCCGTCGCCACCGCAGTGCCCTGGTCGATGGACTGCCCGGCAAACTCGGCCTGCGACTTCCAGGCGAAGTGCTGCGCGGCGTCGAAGCTGGCGCGCGTCGTAGAACAGGGGCACCCAAAACGTCCAGCCCAACCTGGCAATCTCTGCCGCAGAGCCAGCGTTACCAAATGCATGATTTTCTGGTTGGGCTTTGTGTCCCGGAAGATCGCGGCGGCAAGCTAGAGAACCAGGGGTAATAAAAAATGGCCGGATCAGACACCGAGCTCCGATTTGAGCCCGCGCTGTCTGCCAACGCAAGTCCGAGCAGCGAGCCGCCGACATAGAGGCGCCACTACCGGGGGGCGGCGCCGGCGACCTCGCCGACGCAAGCCAGACCAACGGATGGGAAGAACACGCAGAAATGCCAGCCGGACCCTGCACGCGACAAGTTTCGCCGCAGCCGCGCCGAAGACGCGGTCGCCGATGGCCCAGACGGCTCGGCGCCCGGCCGCAAACCGAGCCGAATTCTAGACGCAAAGGTCAGCCGCCCCCCTGCGCCGCCGGCATTCCAGGCGGCGCTCGACGGGCCCGACCGGGTCGATGGCGCTATCCTGCGGCAAGTCGCCCACGGAGAAGTGGCGCGGCGCGCTCGCCAACCTCCTCGCCAAGATCGCCCAGAGATCGCGACCGCGTCTAACCGCGCCAAGATGTGCATTCGAAAAAAGTGCAAGACTGCGTCGGTTTTGCCGCGCCGTGACAGATTAAATCCCCTCGCACTTGATGCTCGACTTCCGGGCGACCACTTTCGGCCCCTCCTCCTGCCGCCCACCGTCGTATCGCAGCCGCTGACTGGCGGCGTCGCAACGGTTCCAGCTGCAGATCGCCCGGGCGGCGGGGCGCGCGCGCGCTGCGCGCGAGGGGGCGCGCCGCAACGCGGCGACGCAACCGATCCAACGCGCGAGGCGAAGGCCCCCCCTCCGCCATCGCGCAACTGAGAGCGCGAGCCTGCGCCAGCGCGTAGTTCAGGAAGGCCGTGAACGCAAGCGCGTCGATGCGATGGCGGCCTTGCCAGCTGCCGCGCTGCGCTGTCGCCCGCCCCCGCTAGAATGCCAGGCAGACGCGACCTGCCTGCGGCCGTCAGGGAAATCCCGAGCGGCGCGCCTCGCGCCCGACCCCCTGTCGTCGCCCTGCCGGGGCAGCGCCTTCAAGCGGCGCCCCTCGAAACCTCGGCGCGCGGTGGGCGTTGCCATTGGCCGAGTGCCTCGGGCTGCGCCTGTTGGCATCGCAGCCGGGCGCGGCCTTGCCGCGGGCCCGCGCCGGTCGAGCTGCGTCGCGAGCGGCGCGGGGGAGCGGCGCCCGCCAAAGCGGCGGCGCCTCCACTGGCTCGGCGCCGGGGGAGCGGCGCCCTCCGAACCGGCCAAGGAGGCCGGCCAGCTTCGCGGGAAAACTCTCCGCATGTGGCAATTGGCATTGGCCCTCAGGAAAATGCTTGCAAGATTATCAGCCGACACGGGCGCGCCCGGCGCCCCGCCGATGCGCGAGGCCCAGAAACAGGGCGCCGCCGCGCGAGCCAAAGCGGGGGAAGAGGCGGGGAGCTGGGGGAACGCGCGCGCGCGCGGTGGCCCTGCAGCCCGCTCCGCGGCAACCCTCGGCTGCTCCCAAGTGGGTTTTTTTCCAAGCGACCCGCGCGTGCATAGGGGCCCTGTCACGGCAAAAGCTTCCCGCGCGGCCTGGTGCAGACTCCACGCGCCGATGGCGGCCGCTCGCGGCGGCATTTGGGGGAACGATCAAATGCCGCGTCGGCCGGGCCAATTTTTCGCCGGAACTTTGAAAAACCGGCAACGCCTGACGCCGAAATCGGGGATGACCTAGGACAACGCTTCGATTGTGAAAACGCATGGGGTATGTGAGGCCGTGGTCTGGGACATTACAGAATATGGGGCAATTTCGGTCTGGGCTGTAAAATGCTGGGAAAGGCTCGGAAGCCCAGGGTCCAAATATTCCGCCGATGGCAGGGGCAAGAGAAAACTCGTTGATGGGATTCCACGAAGGGGAGGAGGGGATGATGCTTCTGACACATCCCACAGTTCCCTGAAATTCCAAGTGAACGTTTGTCCCGCCCGCCCCCCTTGGGCGGCGAAGCTCGCGCTCCTTCTGCCGCGGTCGCGCCCGCGAACCAGAGCGCCCGCTATAGAGGCCGAGGACAGCGCGGCACGGCGCGGCGGCCGCCGTCGGAGTCTCTCGTGCTATATATTTCTCTCTCTCTCTCTCTGTGTCTCTCTCTCTCTCTCTTTCTCTGTCTCTCTCTCTCTCTCTCTCTCTCTCTCTCCCTCCTCTCGCTCTCTCTCTCTCTCTCTCTGTATGTTTTGTTCGTTCTCTCTCTCTCTCTCTCCCTCTTTTTTTTGTTTTTTTTTTCTCTCTCTCTCTCTCTCTCTCCCCCTGGAGCCCGGCGGGCCCCGCGAGCGTCGCAGGCGCGGCGGCCCTTCGGGCCCCGCTGGCCCCGCAGGTCCAGGAGGCCCGACTTGCCCCGCAGGCCACGCTTACAAGTCTCGCGGAGCCCACGGGTCGCACCAGCCCCAGGGGCCCCACAGGACTCGCAGATCTCGCAGGCCCCACAGGTCACCTGCGCTGAATGAGGCAACCTTCTTTATGACAGCCCGCTCTCCACAACAGGCCGCCGCGCCCCTGAATCTCTGCGCCGACGCGGCGCAAGTCGCAGCAGGCTCTCGCTCGCGCCTCGGCGCCGAGGTCCACCGGCAACGTCTCCGAGGGCCGGCGCGACGTAAATTCGCGCCTCGGCCGCGTCGGGGTCCGAGTCGGCGGGTCATCGAGCGGGTTTCCGAAGCCACCCATGCCTCTTTGCGAAGCGTCGCTCGAACTTGAGAGGGTCCTGGGACACACAAATAAATACACACTAGTTCCAGGATTCACCACCTGTTCCCATATTTTCGTTTTTTTTGTCTTCCTCCCCATTTCCAATATTTTCCCATACTTTCTGGAAGTCGACGATTAATTGTGTCTGTGCGTTTTTTCCCCTCCTTCGATGATCGCAGGTCGGCGAAGCAGGGCGAGCGCCAAGCCCAGGCGACTAGGACCTCGCCGACGGCCTGCAGCTCTGGCTCGAGGGCGCTGCGAAGCGCAAGCCCTGCAGAAACCAGCGGGGGGACATCTGCTGGAAGACGCGGTAGGCAGAGCGCCGGAAGTTCACTGCAAGGCAGCCGCCCGCGACCACGAGCCGCCGCAAGATCACTGCAAGCAGAAGATCTGAACAGAGCCACCGCCTCATACCTCTCAGAAAAAATGGCAGCCCCGCGGGGGCGGCTCGCATGGCGACGCGGACATCTCTCCGGGGCCCCGCCGAAGGCCGGCGCGGCCGCCTTCCTTTCGACAGCGAGATGTTCGGTCCACGCGGCCGGCACGCGGAACAAAATGAAGCGGCTTTGAGTTTCCTCGCGGTCTATCGAAGGCACCTCGTCGCCGCCCAAAAACACAAAACAGCTGCCCGATGCCAGGAGGGCAAATCACTTGCCCTCGTAGTCTCCCATCCCGGCTGCGCGCCAAGAAAGTCCCGGGTTAATCCCGGCCGCCTTTGGAGAGAACATCAACCACGAGTAAGATTCGCATCCGCGCGCAACGCGATGGCCTCGAAGATGCGGGCCTTCCCGCCAAGCCCCCGACGATTGATAATCCTTTGCCCTGGTCGTTGTTATGTTCGTCGCGGCGCTGTATCTCGATGACGTTCCCTGGGCGCCACCCCGCCCTGTTGGCAACGTCTGCGTGCTAATCAGGGCTCGCCCAGTGGCCAACTTTATGTAGGTCGGGCAGTCCCCCTACAGGCGGATTTTGGAGGACAAATTGAAAGTGCTCTTTACAAGAAAACAAAAATATAGCAACATAGCAGAACAACAAAACCATACGATTTGTCATATAGTTTGAACATTCGTCCTGTATGGGGAACATGCCTGACCGAAGGCCACCTGCGCAACCCCTGGCCATGGCTGGAACACCCAATACAGAGCGAGGCGCAACGTACTTCAGCGCGCGCGTGAGCACAACTTGAACCAGAATTGGCAACGGACCCGCCATCCAGCCCGCCAGTGCGTGCGCGCGCGTGGAAGCGAAACATGGCACCCGGCTTCTGGCCAGGACACGAAGGCCCGGATCCCAGATTCTAGAACTGTGCGGGGGGTCGGGCCCACCTCTCGCGGCTCTCCAGCTTTGGCGTCCGTTCCATGGGGGCCTGCGTGGCCCCCAGCTCTGTCCGATTTGGGTCTGATTTGGACCAACTGTGGAACAACTTTGTACCAGATTTGGAATGGATCCGGGGGGCTAGGAGAACGAGGAGGGGAAGGGGGAGCAGGAGGGGAGAGGAGGAGCAGGAGGATGGGCCAAATGCGGTCCCCACGCGGTCCCAATGCAGGAAAAGCTGATTGCAGCGTCGCCGCCCAAGGCTCCCATGAACAGACATCGAATCCAGCGCTTCCTACAGAACCTGTCGGGGGCCACGAACAGCCCAAGACGGACCAAGAGGGCCCCGAGCGGCCCGCCTACAGCCCAGGCCCGGTGGCGGGATCGGCGGCCAGAGGCCAGTGGCTTGCCTCAGGGGTGCACAGCGTGCCAGACGTCAGGCTGGTCTGAAATTTGCTGTAAATGCTCAATTGAAGGGGCCCAGGGACACACAAACAAATAGGCACAAATGATATGATTCACAATTTGTTTCTCATATTTTCTGGGTTTTCGTCTTCCCCCCCCGCTTGCCATATTTTTCCTATCTTTTCCTAGGGGTCGACGATTCATTGTGTCTGTGTGTCTCATTCCCTCTGGATCAATTCCCAACGGGCCTTCGCAAATAGCGCCGGCCAACAGAAAAGCCCGGGGAAATGCGGTCGCTCGGGCCTCAACACCTCCAGGATGGACCCAAGATGGTCCCAAGGTGGCCTCCCAGACGGCTAAGAAGATGGCCTCCAAGACGGCCAGGGTGGCCCCAGGAGAGCCCAACATGTTCACGGGCCTAGATGCACCCACCACGGCTCAAAATAGCCCAAAGACGGCCAAAGAGGACTCTAAAAAGGTCTCCCGGAAAGCCCGAATATGTAAAAATCGCTGAGTATCCGTATGTTTCTACTGGTCCTGGCATTTGCTCATTTTTGGCTGTCCGACGGCCCGAGACTGCCCAACAGGCCACCAAGTTGGCCCCAAGAGCGCCCAAGAAGAATCCCAGATGGCCCCATGACGGCTCAAGAGGCTAAACTACAGCCCCAAGGCGGCCCAAGATGCCTCCAAGACGCCCAAGATGGCATCCAAGGCGGTCCCGAAGCGCCACAAGCGGACCCGCAGTCGGCCCAGAGAGGGCCCCAAAACGGCTGCCGACGGCGTCATACGGGCCAGGAAGGCCCTCAGACTGCCGAAGAGGCCCCCAAGAATCCCCCAAAGGCGACCAAGAGGCCCAAGGAGGCCTCCAGTGGGCCCTGCCCCAGGGCCCCCAAGGGGCCTTTCTCTCCTCCGCCTCCTCTTCCTCCCCCCCACCCTGATGCGCTCCCTCATCCTCCCTCGCATGTTACTCCGAAGGCTTTCCACTACGGGGCGGGGAACGCATCGCCCGACGGATTGTCCAAGCCTTGGCCACCGAGGTCGGCCGCATCGGCGCCGGCAAAGGGAAGGGGGCGGCGTGACTCAAGGGGCCCAAGGACACACAAATAAATACACACAAATAACAGGATCCCCCATATTTTCTCGTATTCTCTGGGTTTTTGTCTTCCCCCCCACTTCCCATATTTTCCCATATGTTCTGGGAGATCGACGATGAATTGTGTCTGTGTGTTTTTTCCCCTCCTGAGTTATATTCGCCGCAGGCCTCCGCGATCCGCCGAACCCTGCTGGCGTGCCACAGGGGCGCACGGCGCGCGGGAGTCCCGAGGGGTCATGGCTCTCCCCTCGGCCGAGCGTGCCGGGCACCCGGAAGCCGCCCCATGCTGGCAGCATAGAACCGCCTCCAAGATGCCTCCAGGACGGCCGGGCCTTCAAGATTGCCGCCAGATTGCCTCCAAGACGGCTGCAAAAAAACCTCAGGTTGCCTTCAAGACTGCCTCCAGATTGCCTCCAGATTGCCTCCAAGAGGGCACGAGTATGTCCCAAAGATGCCTCCAAGACGGGCCAGGATGCACCCAAGATGGCCCAAGACGGCCCAAGGGGCCCCCAAGAGGGCCCAAAGATGGCCCAAGAGGCCTCCAAAAGGATCTCCAGGAAGAGCCCGAAAAACAAAAATTATTGAGTTCTCGTTGTTTGGTTGCGGATTCTGGCATTTGTTCATTTTTGGCTGTCCGACGGCCCGAGACTGCCCAACAGGCCAAGAGCGCTCAAGAAGCCTCCAATATCGCCCCCCTGACGGCCCGAGAAGCCCCCGAGACGGGCCCGAGAGGGCCCAAACATGGTCCAGGAAACCTCTAAGACTGCAAAGATGGCCTCCAAGACGGCCCTGAAGCGCCCCAAGCGGACCCCAAGGCGGCCCAGAGAGGCCCACAAGACGGCTTCCGACGGCGTCAGACGGGCCAGGCACGCCCTCAGACAGCCAACATGCTTCCCACCAAAATGCCCCATGAAGCCCCCAAGAGGCTTCCAAGAGGCCGTCAAGAAGCCCCCAGGAAGCCCCAAGAGTGCCCCAAGAGACTCCCAAGAGGCCTCCTACTACTCCTTGTTCCTACCTCTCCTCCTGTTATTTTCCCTCGCGTGTTCCCCGAAGGGCTTTCACATCGGCCGGGGGAACGAGTCCGATAGCTCGGCCGAGCACTGGCCGCACTGTTTGGCCACACATGCGCTTCCAAGAGGCAGGGGAGAGCGGGGAGGGCGGTGATTCGCCGCAGGCGGCTTCGACATTGTGCGCGGTGGTGGCTGCGAACACGACTTCGTGATCATGCTTCAGTCCCCGATCCTTCGTCTGCGCCAGGCGCCCCATGAGCTTCATCCCAAAGCGCTGCACCTCCGCGCCCGCCGCGGTGCCCTCGCGCAGCGCACGCGACATGCTCGAGGCCGCCAGGGCCCCGATCCGCGGCTGCACGGAGGGACAAAAAGCAGCACCCTGGCACGGGCTTTCAGAGCATACACACTTTGGCCAATGTGTCCTGCCTGGGCATTCAGTATTCAGTTCGTGTGCATATTGATGTAATGGTGTGCTAAGCGGGTGCTAAAGATTGATGCGCCTACCACCTGGTTGGTGAACCCTGGCCGGCTACTCTTCAACTGGCGCGCGGCGCCCGCCGAGGGGCGGCGCAGGGGGAACCGCGAGGGGGGCCCAACGCAGATCCGAGAAGCCAGCGCGGAACTCCGACAGTCTGTGCTCGAGCAGCTTTTTCTTCCTCGAGGCTGGCCCTCGATGATGTGCTGCCGGCCCGCCTTGGTCCGAAGCAACGTGAAGGCGCAGAACAGCGCCTCTCCGAGATCGGGAGCGGCCAAGAGGGGGGTGTCCAAGAGGGGGGGGTGCAAATCATGACCGGCGGCATGTGCGCGGCCCAGCGGGGAGGCCAGTGACGTAATGAAATAAGAAGAGGCGCCATGAAATCTGGGGAAATATCATGGCCCCCGCCATGATATCCACCCCCCCCTAGTCATCAGCCCCCTCTTTTCCGCCCCCGACGAGAACAAGGAGGCACCAATGCCGCTGCTCCCCGGAGCTCTCCCTGGGTGCGCCCCGACCAGAATCTCGAGGCGACGCGACGAGGCCTCCCAGGAGGCCGAGAAGGCGACGCAGCGAGGGAAGGACAGCGGTGACGAGTTCTTCCTCCTGCTGCAAGATTCCCCGACCCGGTGCTGACTGATCCTGCCAGGTCCCCCGCTCCTGCGAGGTAGGAGCTCGACCACATTCCACAGGAAACCCAACCCGGAGAACCCGGCCGCCCACCGATGTTTTGCTTTCCATCGCAGAGCCATCGAAAGCCAAGAACCCCAGGGCACCTTGGAGGCAAGCAGGGCGCTCCTTGGCTAGGAGACCGATGTCTGACCACACCCACTTCCCGAGGTTCCTTGCGAAAAGCGGTTCCCAGAGGTGGAGGTGGGCAGCTTCCCCGCCCCAGGGGAAGGAAAAACTACCCACCTCCACCCCCGAGGGCCTATCATAGAATCGAGGATCCAGAGGTGGATGTGGTCAGAAATCGGTCTTCGATTGGCATGGGCCTCCCCTGTACATCCTCCGCCTGCTCGCGCAGCGGTCCGCTCCCCTCCCCAAACGCCTCCTGCTCCACCGCGCGGTCGCTGTAGAGCCCATCGCAGCTCAGCGCCCAGGCCGCGCAGATGGCGCCCCCCTCCGCGGCGCGCTCCGCGAGCCCCTCGTCCGCAACCGCGATGGCGCCCAGGGCTGCGAGGCCCATGCGCTGGATCTGGCCGTCCACGGGGTGCCCACCGAGGAAAAAAAGCAACGACAGGGACATCAGCTGCCGCACGAGGCGGGGATCTGTTCTCATCACCGCCAGGGGGACTGACGTCTTGGGCCCCCCAGAGGGCAGTGCATATTGATTCCGTGTTCACCCAGGGGGCGTTTGCATCACAGCAAACCTGTCTTCATTATATATACACAAGTACACAGACATACGTACGTAAAACACCATAAAACACACTTATGCACAGATGCATTTCTATGTGTACAACTATATATATATGTATGTATCTATAGAGGGAGACTTGCGTGTGTGAATGCAGTACAACTCTTTTTCACATATCCATATCAATATCCGCCACCTGCCAGGGTCAACGAAGATCGATACCCCAAGCGACCATTGTGGACAACACAACATCGAAATTCGGAGCTCCATGTGGAGCTCTGGAAGTTTATGCCCGTGCAGGTGTTTTCTTCCTCGGTCTCGCACAGGTGCATGATGACAGTGTCCACCAGCTCGGGCTTCAGCTTCCCCGCGGCCAGGGAGGGCGGCTCCACGGCGACGACCGAGCGGATGAGCGCCAGTATCTGGGCTTTCGTCGCCGGCCCGGCGCGCGACAACAGCTCGCGGAACTCGCCGTAGCGGATGCCGCTCAGGAGGTGGAGCTTCAGCTTGGTGCTGTTCAGCGAGGTGAACAGCAGAGCCTCAGCGCTGGCCCGCTGGACCTCCTAGGGCGACGAGACCTATATCCGTCCCCCCCCCTGGCCAACCCCATCCTGGGCCCAGGAGCCACGTATACGCTCCCATGGCGTGGCCAGGGGGGCCGACGCACCGAACCCAGAATGTGCCTGGCCAAGGGCAGTGAGCATGTGTAGATTTCGCCGCGCTCCTGCAGCGTGTCCGGACACCACTCCTGCGACCATAGCGTCTTGCGCAAGCCGTCCACCATCCAGAGCTCTTCGTCCTTCTCGGGCACGCGCAAGCTGGCCAGCTGCGTCACCACTCGGCAGCCCGCCAGCGTTGCTGCCTCTCCAAAGGCTCCCTCGATCGCCTGGCCGCTCATCACGAGCAGGTCCTCCCAGTGCTCCCGGCAGCACCGCTGCCTGCACAGCGGGCACTTGCTCGCGCAGGCGGCCGCCAGGCCGAGCACCGCTGCTCGGAGGAGGCCCACTCGAGACCACGGCGGCTCTCCCGCCCAGCCCACACCCGCTCAGAAAATCGCCCCCCGCACAACTCCTGGGGTCCACCGTGACCTGCTCTCTGCGGCGGGTGTAGCCGTGGAGCCGTGGCAGCGAGAGGGCTCCAGGAGGCCCCCCAAAGGGGCCAATCCCCAGGTGAACGTTTTTTCTCATTCGGCGTCTCGGCACTAAGCGGGGGAAGTGGGAGGGGGGGCTGGCTCCAGACCTCTGCTTAGTGCGACCGTCTGCAACCGTGCGTCCTATGGGGGGGAGGCTCCGCCTGCTCGAAACAGGCGCCAAAAACAGGCAATACCTACTCCATAGGGGGGCGGAGGGGGGGGGCGGCAACCCGCGCCGATCGGCAAACTTATATATATATATATATATATATATATATATATATACACACATATATATACATATATATATATACATATAAAAAAAATTGAATAAACGATCCCAAGGGAGGGCCGCCGTTGTCTCGACTGGCCCCCCTCCGACATGTCGCCACGTCGGGCTCCGGGCAGCCCCGCAGGCCCGCCACGGCCAGCACCGCGGAGAGGGCCCGCGGCAGCGAGCCGACCCAGCGCTCCGCGGGGGCGTGCACGACCATCACGTGGAGGAGCCACAGCACCTGCAGCAGGAGCGCCGACGGCCCCTCTCCGGGGGAGCTAAACTAGGGGGCAAACAAACCTACCTCGCCTTTGACCACCCTCGCTTTCCAAGAGATGCCAAGCGACGCCAAACTACGGCATGTACTGGTCAGGCCGCTTGACGAGGCGGCGCGTGGTATGACTTGGTTTTGCCTGGAAGCGAAAGCGGGGTAGGTAATCCACGCTCTGATAAACACGGGGCTCGCGCAATCAGCAACGTCGCGGACCGTGAGATCCTGGCGTGCCGAACACTCGGTGCCGCGCGCTCTCGCCTACTTCCGGGCCCTCGAGCCCTCACGGATCGATCCGGCCCGAAAGCTGGCGCAGGGAGATGGGCCACGGGGCTCCGATTGTGACTCTCTGCGGTGTTGCGGGTGTCTGCTTCGCGATGTTCAGAGCCCCGCCCAGGCGCGCGGAGCGCTCCAGGGGCGGCGCTGGAGGCGCCGCCTGCGGGCTCCAGATCCGAGAAAAAACCCGCGCAGAACTCGACACCGAATTCGTATTCGTGTGCCGCTCCCAAAAACCCAATGTAACGATTTATGGGAGCACGGAGCCCCCCAAAATCTCGACACACTCACGGGGGCCGGATTTGCATCCTGACTTGTTCTTTGACGGGCCCGAAGCCAATCGGGGGCCCACGAGGCTGAAAACGGCGCTTCCGTCGTGATTTGCCCCATACGTTGGATCAACCGTGTGTTCTTCCTGTGTTGATGACGTTGCTTTTGCTCCTCGGCCTTCTCGCCGTGCGCCTCGAGGATGCTCGCGAGCATCAGCGCGGCGCCCCTGGCGACCATCTCGGTGCTGCCCAGACAGAGCTGCTCCTGAGGAAGCCAAGCGATGTCGATACCACATCCTGCTCCTGATCCTTTTTTTTCCTCCTGTGAATACAGTTTGACCGATCCCGATCCCCAGCGGTGTGGCCTGGGCCTCACTGGTCGATTTACCCCCCTTGATGGGGATATAGGTCGTTCCCTTCGGATTTCGAGGGGTGTATCCCCAACTTGAGTGGTGAAATGGTGGGGGTCTCGAAGGGGACGGGGAGAGGGGATGGGGATCGGTGAAACGATACTGAGATCCTCCTCGGCCATAGCCAATGAGGGTCTGACCAGGGCTCGGCAGCCACAAGGCCCGCCGCTCAGATCTCCAAGGACACAATTGGCGACAAACGCACAGAGAGAGAGAGAGACCTGAATGGAGAATGCAGGTCACAACAGAATCGGCATCTCTCCTCTTATGGTCTCGCTCCTTGTGGAGCGTACGCACATACAAGACAAACAAATCTCCCCGAACTCTGAGCCGGACCGAAAAGAGACAAATTCGGACTCGCTTGTGCGACTTCACCGCAGAAGCAAATCGGGGAGATACTCTACTCTGAAAGCAATTCTCGCCCAGCTTCTGACACCGGAATCGCTCCCAAACAAACTGATCATAAAACCGTCTTCAATGCGCACGCTGCTTGTGGCAACTAACTTTTCGTGCAATGACACAAGATCCAACAGCAGCTTGGGTGTGGGACTTCATTGTGCTGATGGTGGCCATTCAGTAAATTCGCTTTCGACTTCTACGCTGGTGCGTGGATCTTGAATCAAGCATGTGCGAAAACTGGGCTAGCCAAGTGGGGACCAGAACTGAACTGCGGTCCCAATTGTCACCACCTGTCCTCGGGCCGACTTTGGCGCTGCTCACTGCATTCAGCATCAGATTGGACTCGTTGATTGACGGCACCGCTATGAATCTTCAGGGCGTGGCGAAAGACTGCGGTAAGACCAGGTCGACTACGCCTGGAGCGGCGGTGACGATGAGGCGCTCGCGTGCAAGCGGGTGAGACTGCATGACGCGCCCGGCCATCCGCACGACTCAGCTGAAAGGAAGCACGAGCACAAGTTCGTACCACTATGAATGTGGCTGGATTCGGCATCGATCTTACGCGGCTTGCGTATGCGCCTCCAAGCGTACCCGGCAGCTTCGATCATGAGATTTCTGTAACAAGCATGCTTAAGAGGGACGCTGAGACGCTCATGTCCAGCAGCCAGAAGCGCACGATGCATGCGACAACAGAGCTCCTTGTAACGGATGATCCCACTCGGGGTTTGTTGGTGAGCACCGTCGGGTGGCTTCCGACAGGCAGCAGCCGTAGCACAGACGGCGGCATTACCCCCTTGTTTGTTCAGCGCATAACTGTCCAGGGATATCAACCACTTCCCCACTGGCCACACTCTCGGATAAGATCCGCCCTGGAACAGAGCTAAACCATCGATATATGAGCTTTTTGACGAGCGGACAGCAGGCGCCCCGCGCAGCCGCGGGCGCCCGGGAAGGCGCCGATCAGTCCGGCGCTTTGGGGAGCTGCGCGCGTCGCTGCGCAGCGTGTAGTACAACGTGTTCCACACCTGCGTGGTAGTAAGTGGGCGCCTCCAGCGTCAACTGCACCAGCTTGCGGAGGACTGCTCTCCACCAGGTGCGCGCCAGAAAGACCGGGCGCGAGAGGTGCGCCGATGTGTTCACGATTGGGGCTTAGCTGCACAAGTGCCTGCAATCCGAAGTCAAAAACCCAAACGACGATGACGATCTTACACTGAGGGTCCCGACCGACATCAACTCGATCGGCAAATATATTCTGACAACAATGATGCCTTTGATGACGTGGTAGTCCGTGATTGTGAACGTGATACTGAGATGTCCATGATGAGCCATCGTGGGCTACAAAACGTGTGTAATACTAGTCCTGGAACAAGAGACGAGTGAGAGACAGAAGGAGTGAGGATTCCAAAACGTCTCTCGCTCGATGCTGGGGCTTCACTTCGGGTAGAACGTAACTGCACCGCACGCACTCCGAGGCTTGACAAAATCAAGGTCGTCGCGCACGAGCCTCCTGATCCTTCTCCTCCCCCTCCTCCTCCTCCTCCTCCTCCCCCTCCTCCTCCTTCTCCTTATCCTCCTCCTCTTCCTCCTCCTCCTCCTCCTCCTCTTCCTCCTCCTTTTCCCCCTGCTGCTCCTCCTCCTCCTCCCTTCTCCCCCACCCCGAGCCGTCACCCTCCTCCTCCTCCTCCTCGTCCCCCCCGTCGAGGTCGTCGCGGTGGCGGTGGTCATCGACGTCCTCGCCCTCCTCGTCCACGCCGTCCAGGGGGACCACCGAGGTGATCCTCGATGCCGCTGCACCCCGGCCCCCGGCCCTCTCAAGAGGCGTGCGCTCTGGCCAGACGGTCGATGGGGCACCCAGAGACAGTCGGGGATGGACAGACCCCCCTTTAGTAAAACGTGGCTTGATGAAAACGACTTCGGGCCCAAACCTGGCGGGCGCAGGCCTGGAAAATAACGGCCACGGCTTCCTCTCGAGAACCGAAAACGAACGATTCACGAATCGACGTGCCACTGCTGGGGGTTCTGTCCACCCCCGAGACAGTGCCGACGAGGGGGCGCTCCCACCCGGGAGAGGCCCCCCCCAAAAACAGCACCCGCGCCGCGCCGAGGGCCCCGAGGGGCCCGGGCCCGCGGAGCCCCAGAGGGGCCGCGGCCCAGAGGCCCGGGCCCCGCGGAGGCCGTGGGCCCAGAGGGTCGAAGGAGCAGGAGGAGGAGGAGGAGGAGGAGGAGGAGGAGGAGGAGGAGGAGGAGGAGAATGCCGACGAGGGGGCGCTCCCACCCAGGAAAGGCCCCGCCGCCGGACGCATCCGCCGCACTCTCTCGGGGCAGCCTCGCAGGCGGGGCAGGACGAGCCCAGGAGCCGCATCGACGAGTCGGGTCGGCGGGAAGCGGCAGGACGAGCCCGGGACACGGCCGCATGGGCTGAGGTCGGCAGGCCGGCACGGGGCAGTTTTTGACACATGGGATGCTTAAACAAAACATCGGATTTGTAAGACACGACTCATGTAGGAGTAAAGTTCTGCATGGACGCATCGTTGCTTTTAATACTACATCCCTGCATTTGTTTATACATGATCCGCACGCGGAGCATGTATTAACAACGGCACTGTATGCCTCCGATGAAGAAATCGGAGCCCAGATCGGAATCCCAGGTCGAGTCGAAGCGGGATCGGGAGCAGCTGGAGTCGAGTCGAGTCGAATCGGAGGCGCCGACACGAGCCCTGGCAGGGCGGAGAACACCCGGCCCGCTCCTCCGGCTCCTGGGGAGTCCGTCCACTTCCGCACGTCCTCGCCGTCGCTGCAGAGACGGGCACTCCCGCCGTGCTATCTTCGCAGCGCTCGGAGTGCATCTGCAGCTACAGTGGGGGCCCGACCACAAGAGACCTTCCACAAGAACCACAACCCTGAGACACCAGGACTTCCATTGATGTTTGGTGTGGGAGCGTCGCGCTTTCCACGGCAAAACCATCGAAACCCAAGAAACCCAGGGCACCCTGGAGACAAACAGGCTGTTTCTTGGCATGGGTTTCAACTGCAGGAACACCAAGCAAGAGCACGGCGGACCCGAAGCCAGGAAGGACAGCGGCACCCGTACCAGAGCACATTTGAACCGATCCCTATCCTTAATGCCGTGGCCGTGGTCTCACAGGCCGATGTTCCCCCCTGGATGGGGGCTGCTCTTTTCGGGTCTCGACGGGCAATTATCCCCTGCTGGGGTGGTGTGATGGTGGGGATCGGGATGGGGATGAGGATGGGTATCGGTGAAACGATACTGCGTATCGGCATATGTTCCTCCTCTGAACTCCTGCTTGGTGCCCGCGCCCAGCTGTTGCTGCAACTCCCACAGCAGCGACCCCGCCCTATCCTGTACCAGAAAACATGAGACACGACCTGACCTACGGCCCCACTGGCCTGAGCACATACGATGTATTATGGCTTGGGCTTTTGCGTGGTACACGCTGCGGCCCCCGATGGACCGTAGCGCAACATGGAGCTTGACGAAGCTAGGACAAAGTTAAATCGAGAATCTTCAAGATCCAACGGATCTGGGGGATGCATCGGGCGTCGCGGCCTGATCAGAGCCTTCCGGAACGCTCCGAGAGCGCTCCGGAATGCCCTGGAACGGATTTATCATCGTCCTAGCCCCGCCTGGTGGGGGGCCGTAGGTTTAGGTCGGGCATGTCCCCCGACAGGCTGGGTCTATATAGGGAAAACAAAGAATAGTTCAAAAATAACCAACCTAAATGCAACAAACAAAAAAACGTTCCAGGACTAGTTGTGGCTATTTTTGAATATTCCTCCTGTAGGAGGACACGCCCGTCTTGACAATAGGTGGGGTGGTGTCGTTGGCTGTCTGGTCGGCTCTCCGGCGGGGGCACCGGGCCCCGGAACAGCTCGCCGAAGCCGGGCAGCCGGGTCAGGCCGGAGAGGGCCGGCCGCGCGCAGGAGGGGTGCGGGGCGAGAGGGGCAAGACCTGCGAGAGAGCACCCCTGGGAGCCGCGCGTACGGTCGGACCAGGGGCAGAAGTAGGGGAACGAACACTGGCGTCAATAAACATGAACAACTCAAAGGTCCGCGCGGATTTCTCGGATCGGCGCTTGACCCCCCTCCCTGGCGCGCGGAGCGCGCCAAAGACGGCACTGGAGGCGCCGCCATGGGGGTCCAGCGTGGATCCGAGAAATCCGCGCGGACCTTTGAGCTGTTTATGTTTACTTATGTCAATGTTCGTTCCCCTACTGTTTGTTCATGCGTATGTATGTCAATGTCCGAGAAATCCGCGCGGACCTTTGAGTTTGCATGCTTCTGTTATTGCTCGTTCCCCAGAGAAGAGCAGCCTTCAAGAACACGGGACCCTCCGCCGGCCAAGACACGCAGGACATCCAAGGACATCCCACAGAACACACAAAAACAACCAACAAGCACGAAACACATCCAAGAAACACTAAGAACATTAGGGCAAGCTCCCAGAACCGACCTCGATCTTATACCTCGGTCCGACCGCATGTGCACTGAGGCATCCCGGCCCTCCTGTCCAATGGGGCTTCGCACAAACGCCACAAGCCAAGGCCACGCTAACAGCGATGTTGGTTAACTGCGATGCTGTGAATCTGCTTTTCGCGGCGACGAACTCGCGCGGAACAAATGGATGAAAAGCACGAAACACACCCTCCTACGTCTCAAATGCGCGAATGTATCGTGCGAGAACGGCACGGCGGATTGTAGAAAAACACGCGAACAGCGCTTCCCTACAATGGGGTTGGCCACCAACCCACCCCCACCCACAATGAAGAAACCATTCGTAATTTACGATCAAGCGGTGCACAAACAACGCAATACAGTGGCCATGTCTATGGCCCCGACCCCCCCCTCTGATGGGCCGCTTTTCCAACACCACTACCATAGGTTGGAGAGGGAGGATGAGGAGAAGGAGGAGGAGGAGGAGGAGGGAAAGGAGGAGGCGGAGGAGAAGGAGGAGGAGGACCTTCCCATTATCCCTTCTTCCCTGTCCTACCCGTGGCAGCGGTGGTGGAAAATTGGCCCATCCTCAGGCCGGGCATGCCCCCTGCAGGGGCATTTTGAAAGGAAAATTGAAAGGTGCCAGAACACACTCAAACATAATCCAAACATGTTAGACAAATCGTCCCCTGACGATGCTTTCAGATGTTTGCTTTTTGCTCCTCTAGAGGGACATGCCCAACTTAAGCCCATCCCCATCGTACATTCGGGAGCAGCCAAGAGGGGGGTGTCCAAGGGGGGGGTGCAAATCATGGTGGCCGGCGGCATGTGCGCGGCCCAGGGGGGGGGGGCAGGGACGTATTGAAGCAAGAAGAGGCGCCACGAAATCTGCGGAAATACCATGGCCCCCGCCATGAGATCCACCCCCCCATCTAGTCATCACCCCCCTCTCTGCCGCCCCCTCCTGCATCCCGCGCCCCGAAAAAACAAGACAAATTCTCAAACAAAAGGCGCGAGGGCTTCCGAGAAGCCCCGCCGCCTTCTGAGATGGCCTTCTCCTTCTCAATTCCACCCCCTCGCTCGCAACCGAATGGAGTAGCTCCGTCTTGCCCTGCCCTCTCGTCAGGGGAGCGAAAAATCACAAAACATACAAACTCGAATGTCCGCGAGGGCTTCTCGGATCCGCGCTGGCGCCCCCATGGCGGCGCCTTCCGGCGCCGCCCCTGGTGCGCCAAGGAGGGGGGTCCAGCGCCAGCCCGAGAAATCCGCGGGGACCTCCGAGATCTTGCTTGTGTTTATGCCATGCTTCGTTAGATGCTCATTCTGGGGACCTTCCTGGAGCCACTCGCTCCACTCGTGCGTCGAAGCTGCGTCGAACCTCCGTCGAACCCGAGCCGAATCCGAATCGAACCTGCGTCGAACCTGAGTCGCACTTCACTCCGAACCGGAGTCGAACGGATCCACTAGCTGAACCCCAGGAAGGTCCCCCAAACGAGCATCGAATCTTCGTCTCCCCCCCTCGTGCGCGCCGCCCGGACAGGCGGGACCCAGAACAGCGCCCCCTCGGGCGGCCCGGCGGCGTGCGCCTGGCTGCCGGTCAGCCAGGCCGTCAGCGGGGGGATGCCGCCCTCGTCCCGTCGAGCCTACGAGGAATGACTGACAACAATCTAAATGAAGGGGCCCCAGGACACACAAATAAACACATAAAAATATTCCCCATATTTTCCGATATTTTCTGGGTTTTTGTCTTCCCCCCCACTTCCCATATTTTCCCATATTTTCTAAGGAATCGACGATTAATTGTGTCTGTGTGTTTCTTTCGGGTTACGTTGCGCCCATCGCACTTGAGGACCGCATCCCAGAAATAGCTTCGAGCACCCAGAGAAGTATCGAAACGGTGTCGAACGAGTATCGCCTCCCAGGGCCCGGCACGTGAAAACCCTCAAGTTTCGGTACTTTCTTGGTGCTCGAAATTCTTTCTGGTGATCCAGGCTACAAGTAGGTTGGAACATCCTAAGCCGAGGGCCGCATGGCCCCAGGAATGCAGAGGGCACGGGACGCGAACAGACAGGACACAAGGGTACCCTTGGTTTGGCAGGGTCGACCTTCGTGGGCCCTGGAAACGACAAGGCCGTCTTTGTTACCGGTTCCTTTTTGCCGTTTTTCTTGCCGGCTCCGACGCCGTTCTTTACCTGTTCCGTCACCGTTTTTGTTGCCGGTTTCGGCTCCACTTATGATGCCAGAACCTTTTTGTTGCTGTTTCCGGTCGCCGCTTATTTTTTTGCCGCTTCCACTGTCAAGAGACACTTCTTCGGAAACGGTGAACAAACGGCCCTGCCGTCTCCGGGGCCAACTAAGGGATCAACATGTTTATCGAACTCGATTGTAATCTGTCGAAGCTCTGCGCAGATTTGTTGGATCGGCACCCGAACCCCCGGAGGGGCCCCCGGCGTCGCCCCTGGAGCGCTCCGCGTGCCAGAGAGGGGGATCCAGCGCCGATCACGGAGATCGCGTGGACCTCTGACAGATTACACCGGAGACCCGTCCACAAGAAACCTTCCACAAGAGGCCCAAGCCCTGAGTCCCCAAGACGTCCACCGATTCTTAGTGTGTGTGTGTGCGTGTGTGTGTGTGTGTGTGTGTGTGTGTGTGTGTGAACCTCACGCTTTCCGCAGCAGAACCATCGAAACCCAAGAGACCCAGGGCACCATGGAGGCAGGCAGGGTGTTTGCTGGCATAGGCCTCCGTCCGCTGTGTGTCTATGAGTGTGATTCTTCGTCGAGAGCCGACGCGGCCCAGGCGGCGACGCCCTGGACCCTCAGGCTCGGGGCCAGCCAGCAGCGTGCGGTGCAGGAGGCGTCGGCCACGACGAAGACGTCGCCGCCAAGCGCAGCGGGGTCGGGCACCAGAAACGCAGGGTCGATGACCGCCACGTTCTGCTCGTCCTCCTGGTTGTACCACACCTTGGCGGCGCGCAGAAGGGGGTAGGGGGAGGGGGGAAGGCTTCTTAGAAGGAGGCTGCTTCTTAGAAGGCGCCGGCCTTGCATCTCCAGAGAGGGCCCGCACCTTCTAAGGAGCAGGGGGTGCTTCTAAGAAGCCTTCCCCCCTCCCCCTACCCCCTTTGCGCGTAACCAAACACCAGCGCGAACTCCCCTTCCAGGGTGACTGGGCCACAGTAGTAGACCAGCGCGGGCTGCCCTGGTGGCAGCAAGCGGAAGAACTCGCGGACCTCCTCCTCGGGCGTGATGTTGACGCCGTTGTTGAAGTCCAGGCGGCGTATCCTCTCTGGCACGGCGCAGGCTCGCGCAAAGCCAAACTCCAGAGGCAGTCCAGCCAGGCCTCGAAGGGGGCCCCGCGGTAGTCCGGGGCACCGGGGCTGTCTCAACGCCCCCAACGAGCGGAAGACAGCAGACTTGGGTCGGGCATGTCCTCCTACAGGCGGAGTTTGGGCGAAGAAAAAAACACCCCAAGAATACCCCAACAGAGTCAAACGTACAACTCGCCCCCGGACATTGCCTTGCACACTTTTGAATGCTTCTCCTGCAGAGGGACATGCACGACTCAACACCGACTCTCGGAGGTGCGCGGGTTCCTTGGGTCGGCGCTGGAGGCGTCGCCAAGGAGGGGCCAGCACCGAGCCGAGGAATCCGCGCTGAAACCCGAGCGAGGAGCCGGGGGAGCACCCCGCGAGGCGCCCGGGAGCGAGGCGGGAGGGAGCGGCGCGCGAGGAGGAGGAGGAGGAGGAGGAGGAGGAGGAGGAGGAGGAGAAGGATTTTTTTTTTTTGCATGAGACCACGCTGCAGCCCCCGTACACCCCACAGGGAGGGCGAGGCCCTGGGGAGGAGGAGGAGAAGGAAGAGGGGGAGGAGGAGGAGGAGGAGGAGGAGGAGGAGGAGGAGGAGGAGGAGGAGGAAGAGGAGGAGGAGGCAGGCTGCTCTTCTTCGGACTCGGCCAGCGAGGGAGGCGGGCGCCCGAGGGAAACGGGTCCACGACCCCAGGGGGCCACCCCTGGGCGGCGCGCACGAGGGGGCAGGGGCACGGGGGGAGGCTGCCTAGAGAAGGAAGGTGCTTCCTACAGGGCGCCCAGCTCTCCCGTCCGCCTGCCCTCCGTTCGTCGTCGTCGTCGTCCCCTCCTCTGCCGTGCTGTGGCGCTCCACTGCTCGTCCTCCTGCCTGCCCCTCGGGCTGTCGCCCGGGTTCTTCCGCCCTCCTCCCCTCCTCTCGGGCGTCGTCCTCTGTCGCTCGCTCGCCCCCCTTCCTCGGGAGCGGCCAAGAGGGGGGGTCCAAGAGGGGGGGTGCAAACCATGACTGGCGGCACGTGTGCGCCCCAGCGGGGGGGCCAGGGGGGACGCAATGAAGCAAGAAGAGGCGCCGTGAAGTCTGGGGAGAGATCATGGCCCCCGCCATGATATCCCCCCCCCCCAGTCATCACCCCCCTCTGTGCCGCCCCCCCTTCCCCCAGCTCTCACCCTGGTCCCCCCGGGCGTCGCTCCCTCCTCTGCCCAGTCCTGCCGCTGCTCTCGCGGGTCGTCCACCACCCGGGCCCCTTCGAAGGGGCGGGGCACGCGCGGGCAGACTTCGACACCGCCTCTGCCCGTGGCGCCCGCGACGACGATTGCACCTTTCCCCTCTTCACCCTGTGCTGAAACTGACGTTAGCGTAAGGTCGGGCCTGTCCCCCGACAGGGGGATGTTGGGCACCATAGTAAAAATAGGTTTAAAAAGTACAGCAACATACCCAACAATTGTCAAAACATCGTCCCCAGACTATGTTTTGACTATGTTTGGATCTTCCCCCTATAGAGGGACAGGCCCGACGCAACGTTGGCGTACTGCTGAACATACGCCTGCGCACGTGATTTGGCGGCGCGCACAAGGGGGTAGGGGGAGGGAGGAAGGCTTCGTAGAAGGAGGCTGCTTCTTAGAAGGCGCCGGCCTTACATCTACAAAGAAGGCCCGCGCCTTCTAAGAAGCAGGGGTGCTTCTACGAAGCCTTCCCCCCTCCCCCTACCCCCTTCTGCGCGTGGCCAGGTGATCTACAGCCGATGTGCCGTCCGGGCACGGTTCCTGGCCTCGGGCCATGCATCCACAGACGAGGCCCCGTGCCTTCCAGGAGGCAGGGGTGCCTCCGGGAAGCCTTCCCCCGTCCCCCCGTCCCTCTGCGCGTGGCTGGACCTCTTCCCCATGAGAGTCGCCTTGCAGCCTCGGGTCGGGCGAAAGGGGGTGATTGCAAAGGGGGGGTTTGAGAATCAGCTCACGCAGCTGCTTCTCCCGGCGCCTCCCGGCGCCGAAGGCGGCCATGTATCGAGGAATGGCCCCTTCGGTGAGGCTGAAACCAGCTGCATGCAGCAAATTTCGTAACCCCCCCTTTCTCCATCCCCCCCTGTCGTCCGGCCCGGTTGCCGGCCCTGGAACCAGGAGGGCCCCAGAGCCCCGAAGGCGGGCAG